TTTGGCTAAAGAATATGCCTTAAATACTGTACAGGCAGGATCGTGAAAGCTTTATGCTATTGCAGAAATAGATGGAAGAAAAGAAAACAGCGAAGAACGGAGAAAGTGTATGTAAGATTTGAAGTTTTGACGGCGGCGACTATGAAGAATGCCGTCTTATTGGATGTGGCTCCGTGTAGATATTGTGTTAACCGACGTTTCGGAGGAACGTATCGCCTCCATCTTCAGGGTATAAGAAGTCTGCAGCCACTTGCTCACGCTGGTTCCTCGCTAGCGGATTTCTTATACCATGAAGATGGAGGCGATACGTTCCTCCGAAACGTTGGTTAACATCTACACGGCGCCACATCACAGAAGACGGCATTCTTCGGAGAAAATGTATGTTTACAAAACACTGGTAATTGGCTAGCTACAATTATCATGCAGATTCATTGTCTCAGTGAAGACTATTTTGAAAGCAAATCCTTATTTCGTCCAGTATTTCATAGCCCAGAAAGACAAAATTCCTGGGAAACCATATAGATATTATCTACGAGTAGAAGTTGAAAGTAAAATTGTGGATGTAGTGACTGCTTTCTTAAAACACTTGATGAATCAGATCATTCTTATCAAATTGACGAGGTCCAAGAAAGGAGTGGTTGTATGCAAACAACTGGCATCCACGGCTAACATCTGGAAAGATACATGTGTGTTCAGAAGGGAAGAATTTCGGTCTCATTCCAAACCATTCCCGACCGTGAAAGCTATTACGCCAGGAGAGAAAGCATAAGTTGGGAGCTTCCTCTACACTTGTCGTTAGTTATGTTCTTTGTATACAGAACACGCACAGCAGCCTCGAAGGAAACATTACAACTCCGAAGAGTTCTTTTCACTGGCCAAGGGCAGATACCTTATAATATTTTCAAAATTTAATGAGCCGCGATAGCCTGGTCGGTATTGCGACTGACTACGGGCTGGACGACCGAGGTGTCGGAGTTCGAGTGCCTGTAGAGTCAAGAATTTTCTCTTGTCCAAGTTGTCCAAGACCGGCTCTTGGGTGTACCCAGCCTCCTATCCAATGGGTACCGAGGATTTTTCCCCGGAGACAAAGCGACAGGGGCGTGAAGCTGACCACTCACCTCCAACTTTTGCCGAGGTCAAGAAAATGTGGATCTATACATCCACTCCCTCATACGCCTTCATGGCTTAGTGATTGATTAGATAAGCCCAGAAACAACTTTACCTTAGTGAAAAAAAATAAATAAAAGACCGAAAGGGACTTAGTATAAAAAGCTGCTTATTCACTTAGAGAAATACCTATACACCCCTATTTTGGTAACATCTGCGGCTTTCTGTAGGACACACCTACTAACGTTTAGCTTTACAATTCATGACAGTAGTACAAGAGAAGTAACACATGTACCATGAAGCTACTGCTGACCGTGGTGGCGTGTTGCTATTCAGGTTGTCTTTTGATGTCTCTACAAACATGCAGGTAACACGTTCTAATGTTACTTATGTTATCTTTCCTGATACATGCGAGAGCCAGAATAAAAATTCCTCCGTTTCTACTATTTGGAAAACTGTATATTATTTGTTGCAAAATCCCAAATAATTACCATTGATCAATCGTCTATACTGTTTGGTCGTAGCAAAATGGATGTAGGTGGTGATAATGTAGTAGTAAGATAGAAAAGGAAATATTGATTCACAAGACTGGGACCAGTGAGTGCCGCCGCCAAATGGATAGCACTGTTGCTTCATATTCAAGAATTCCTGGGTTCAGAACTGGTTCCGGACACCGGCTGTGCCGGTTGATGGTTTCCGTAGTTTTCGTCAATGCCTCAAAGCAAATTCCGGAATTGTATTTCAAATCAGACCACGACCGCTTCATTCCACACTTTGTCTCTTTCGTTATTTGCTAATCAGCCTTTTACTCGGCGCCGTATGGGCCCAGTCTGAATTACTGACGATATCAGTAAATCGACCATAAAGAAATAAATAATAAGTAAATGAATGGTGTCAGTGTGCGCGCTAGAGCTGCAGCAGATTCATTTTTGCTAGTGTGGAATAAAGACTTTTACTTGATTTCTTAGCAATACCAAAAGGACCGTTAATGTCTGGAGAGAAGGATACAGTGGAAACCCATTCGTCTGGGATAATGCCCGGTGGTTCTTGTGCTAAAGATTTGGGAACAGTGCAGCTCAAGAACTAACTCAAGAAGTGAGGCTTTTCGAATCGTATCTTTGAACAGGCAAGGGACCAAAGCAAAGGAAATGTACTTCCAACCGATTAAAAACAAACCGGTAGTTATCAGTGCAGAGAAGAACAAAAACGGCCCACAGTACGCAGTATATTCCATCATTTTACCGTGACTGCAGGAGCCCTTTCGTCGGAACTTCCTGGTTTATTTGAAGCCGACAACAGTGGAGATTACCAGTAATGGGTATAATAGTGAGAAATCTCCAATTTGCACTGTTTCAATAGGAATTTTGAGTAAAATGATGTTTGATAATTAGTAACTAGGGGTCATTGGTCACAAGAAACTGGCAGAAGAAGAGTTCTGTTTTGTGGCACTTAACGCCATGCAGTCTTTTGAAAGTCGACCGACGTTTCGGAGGAACATGCCACCATCTTTGTATGCCTCTGAAACGTCAGTACATTTTGAACGGACTACACGGCGCTATATCCTGTAAGATAGAACTCTTCATAACCACCGCTGTGAGAACCTCAGATCCTACACAGCGCTATACCCCAGAAGATAGAACTCTTCATAACCACCGCTGTGAGAACCTCAGATCCTACACAGCGCTATATCCCAGAAGATAGAACTCTTCATAACCACCGCTGTGAGAACCTCAGATCCTACACAGCGCTTTACATGAACAGTATCACAAAGTTTTATTACAGAGGCTTAATGTGTAGTAAGGCATGTCAGCATAAACGTAGGACAGTATAATCCATGTTTCTGTTACATTAGAACTTAGAAAATAATACAGATGAAATTGGATTAACTGTATGGACATAATGACTGATGAAAGAGTATCGAAAGGACACACCGAGGAAGAGCTTAAAAGATGGAATGTCTGTACGAAGTTGGAACAGGCTTGGTTGCCTATATCATGAAGTAAGGTGAATGTAAATGTGTCCCTATGCTTAACTAATTAAGCACTAGGCCATGAAGGCGTATGGCGAGTGGATCAATAGATCTACGAATAATTGACCTCGATACCAGTTGGAGATATGTGGTCAGCTTCACGCCCCTGCTGTTTTACCCCCGGGAAAAGAACCTCCGATGCTTATTGAATAGGAGGCTTGGTGGGCCACAGAACCGGTCTGGATGACGTAGAGAGGAGAAAAGTCTTGCCTCTACTGGGACTCTAACTCCGACCCCTTGGCCGTCTAGCCCGTAGCACCACGAAGTAAGGAAAGTAAGAAGAAGAATGTATTTTCTTTCTGCAAAATAGAAGGGTTATCATCTTTCAAATAATTCCATAAGTAGCCTGTACCGAAGGAGTCGGTATAGCGACGGGCTACAGGGCTGAACGACCTGGGCTCGATTCCCGGCAGTGCACAGCGTCCAGACCGACTCTGGAGCCCACTCAGCCTCCTATCCAGTGGATACCGGGGGCTCTTTCCCGTGGACAAAGTGGCAGGGGCTTGAAGCTGGACACTCACCTCCATATAGTGCCGAGGTTAGGAAGAATGGAGCTGTACCTCCCTCCGCCATATGTTTTCATGGCATAGTGCTTAACTAATTAAGCACAGGGGCAACTTTACCTTTGCCTGTACCGAGCAAGATGACAGGCGGTAACGCTTCTCATTTGTTGTCTGCAGGTCGTGGCTACTACTCCCGGTCGGGACACCGACTACCCCGTTTGAGGTCTCTTCTGTTTTCTTCCAGTTCCTCCATTCGAATTCCTTCCACATCCGTTCCAGTTCATCATTTAGTAATCCTCGACGCTGTATAGGCTGACTTACTGACAGCCTCGTTAGATAACCCACAAATAAATAACAGATTTATATTTAGGCCCGTTATCAGTTTTAAGGGTAGAGAAGGCATAAGGGTCTCCTATAAAATTATGACCATTTTATTTGAATACTTTACTTAACCGTCGATCCACTCCCCCATACGAGTTCATGGAGTAGTGCTTAATTAGTAAAGCACAGAGACAACTTTACCTTTTTTACCGTCGCCCCTAGAGTTGTGTCTGGGCCTACGTTTTCTTTGTGCGAAGCTAAGCGTGCTCAGAATGTCTGCGCAGTGGGGCCAAGTATTGAACTTGTGGCACGAAGATAAATTATTTATAGGCCTATAACTAACTCAGTGGATAGGGCTACCGTAATCTTTGTATCCTGAAACGAGACAGGCCAGATTTGCCCCCCTCCCACCGCAAAGGAACATTTTCAGCATCTGTTATGCGTACTGTCCCGTTGGATTTGCGGTAAATAAACAAAGAGCAGGCGTGTCCACAGTAAACGCCGTCCATGAAAAGTCAAATGATAAATAATCATTGTTGTGTTAAATAAAATGAATTCTAAGCAACCCCCCCCCCTAAATAGTCGATTGTTAAAAACAAATATTGTCATCAGTAAAAAGCAAGACTGTCGTTTTGACTGAAAGCGTGACAAAATTGTGTTCTGAGGCAAACCGATACGACAGTTGTGACACAGATTTAGAGCGGGACATATGGTCGCCCTGTCAGTGGGTCAGAATCCGCCTCAAGAATCTGATAGTTCCCCAGCTACTCAAGACAATCATGAAGTGTTATACGTTTCATCTAGGGGCACGATTTGATATATTTTTTTTTGTGGTAGACCATTTATGGGAATGATTTTATTTGCGTAGGTACTCTGTTTTTATGAGAAATTTAATATGGTTTGTATTTTAGCCTAACCACAATAAAAATAAATTTGGTTTATTTGTATATTCAATTCCTTTCTTTACTTTTTGTTTAATTGCTTTTCATAATACAAGTGTGTGGGTCCTTATCACATCAGGAATACTGTGTATGTTGCAGGCGACGATCAAGGAAGGCTTCTTGATGAAGCAGACATGGTCTTTCCAGCGTTGGAGGCGCCGCTACTTCAAGCTCAAGGGGCGCAAACTTTACTATGCAAAAGACACCGAGGTGAGGAGAGTCCGAAATATGTATGTAAACCCGTTTTTCTTGNTAATTGGTTAGTGTGACGGACCAGAATGAAAGACCTTAAACGTTTTTCTTGTATTTGGCTGGTGTCCTGTTGTAAGAAGAACATGCGCTTAAAGTAATCGGCTTTTGTCTAAAGCACTTTTTGATGTAAAGGGAATCTTTTTACGATAGTTGAATTAACGACTTTTTAATTAGTGCCCTTGAAATAATAATATGATTATCTTGAAACAAGAGAAGCCGTGCGTATGTTGTCAACACTGCTAACCACTCTTACTAGCCCTACATAACTAGTTGCAGTCCTTATATTAAGATATGCGTAGAGTTTTTCACTCCTAGAATTGGGCGTGTTTGTGAAATTTCTCCATTCGCCGTGGCTTCCATTTTCATATTAACATACCTTAAAGATAAAGTTGACTCTTTGTTTAATTAATACGTCAAGTAGACTTGTGGAGGTATAGCTCCAAATATTCTTATCCCCTGCCCTAGATGGTGGTGAGCTTCATGCCCCAGTCGCTTTGCTCTTGAGGAAAGAACCTCCGGCATCCATTATGTAGAAGGCTCGTTGCGTCCATGGGCCGGTCCGTTGGCGAACTTGCAACGAATCCATTTCGGTCGTCCAGCCCGTAGCGACTCGCAGTACTGACTGAGCTACCTCCTCATACTGTGTTTGATCTCATTATTGCTTCAAAATTGATGAGAAATACACTTTAATTTAACACTTTTTGACTTGATGAATGCCATTCAAGGAACCCGTCTCTGTCACTCTTAACAATTTCTAATATTTTTTATCTCATTTATGTCTTGTGGTTATGTAGGGGGTTGTCAGTTTTTCGGATAGGTTTACTGCCTCGACCTTCAGTGTAGTATTTTCCCCTGAAGAATGACGTAAGAGGTTTCTCTGAAATATTAGTAACCACCCACGGTACTACATGACGACATTACCCCATAGGCTGCAATCTTAATTATCGCCGCCCCTGCCATATGAACTTCAGATCCCATCGACCTCTGCTCTGCAGTGGAAGCTGGGGTAAGAGGTGTTCCCTATTTGTTCTGCGCCTGTATGTCGTGAGATCAATGCCCACAGTGTTATCCTGCCTTCAGTGTGCCCGTCTGTATGTCTTGTCCGCTGCTTTATTAATTGCTCTGTTCTGGTGCTTGGGAGACACATGTATGGAATCCATCAGCAGAATGACGGCTCCAACCGACCTCACTGGCACATAAACGTCTGCTTGTCAATATCAAGAGAGCCTTGAAGTTTTCAGGGCGGTGAATATTTAGATTGTGGACTTCTGGATCGTGACACCGTGTAGTCTTATAAGTTATTATTACCGTTCCATGTCCACGCACGATACTGTACGGCATTATAAACCAGAAGACCACTATCTAAATATCCCCAAGACTTCATAATTTAACAAGAAGTTCTGGGAAGAACTAATCGCCTACTTCCTTTGATGCGACACGGATGGCATAGAAAACGACGTTTCCAACAATATTTCTATTTCTGCATATGTATTCGTTGCAACGGTAACGGTATTATCGAGCCGTTGCCTAGAAACGATAAGTTTCATAAAGATTCAAAAGTATATGGTGGGAACAGGATTCACGGACAGCACGGTAATCTCATAAGTCTACTTTCGTTCTATCAAAATAAGGAAAGTAAGATAAAAACCTGAATCCCTTCATACTGGATTTTAAACCATGCTCAGAAACGGTTTAGACAGTGGCCCAGTATACATGTCATTTTATTCGTTGTTTTGTATAGCTCTGGTGTCTGATGTACGTTGTCATATCATTATAGGTTACCATAAATTATCGCTAGAGGTTTGTATGACTAGAAATCTGTGCAGTAGGAAAGTAGGTTTCATGAATTCGGCTCGTAAATCCTTGTTACTTTGCAGAATGTGTAATGCGTTTTAAGATTCGAATTCTGGAACTATCACCAGGTTCTGTAATCCGTACCATATTGTCACTGCAAGAAAGTCACTTGTGGTGACACCTTTAACCCAATACTGGCTGTTATCTGTCGGTGCTCAGTAGATAACAAGACGTGAAACACGCCAGCAAGCGAAAGGAAAAAGTACCTATCGAACACGAAAAAGACCGGGGCTCAGAAATTTTATGCGCATGAAGAAAGGACTGTTCTCTTCACGCTGGAACCGTGTTATAGGTTTCTGAGGCAGTTCTTCCCCTAGATCTGAGGTTTTCATGCCGATGAACAGTTAGGCATTGATTGTGGTCCTCGACGTTATTTTCTTTATTGTTTGTTTAACGACACTTTCAGTGCCATAGAACATTATTGCTTGCAGCCATACGACGATGATAACGAAATGGAATGGATATTGTGACAAGTCTAACCGTTGCTGGGCAACGGGAGGTGGAACGAGTTACCACGAAGACAGACCCTTGATAAACGGTCGGTTGCCAAGTTACGCAACAATAAGGAAAACGGTGTTTCTCCGTGCCGTGCCGAGTAGAGCCGAAGCGAACTGGTTGCTACGCAGCAATAAACAACTCTCGGCAGCGTTCCCCAGCAACGCCTGTAAACACGACGTTTACGCAACAGTGAAGCGAGGTGGGTTTTCGGCTGTCCGACTGAGGGTTTATAAGGGCGACTGGAATGCATAGGGGACGAAAAAGGAAGTCTCAAATCTGAGACAGTACGTAAAATATCCAGCAACGCCTGTAAACACGACGTTTACGCAACAGTGAAGCGAGGTGGGTTTTCCGCTGTCCGACTGAGGGTTTATAAGGGCGACTGGAATGCATAGGGGACGAAAAAGGAAGTCTCAAATCTGAGACAGTACGTAAAATATGGTCGCGAGTCCCAAGGGACTCGGACCCGAGTAAAACTGCGCTGGCAAGGGCCAGCAGCATATACAGAAGACAGACCCGTCCTCTCGTCAGAGAAGGCGCCCCCCAGAAACAAGACCGTAATTGTCAAACGGCAATAATTAATATCTGGTCATGAACCCCAAATGGGGCTCGACACCAAGCCTTACTGACTGACTGACCGTCAGTCGCAATGTGACTTCGATAGGAATTAAGATTAAATTTGTAAATACTGACAATGAACTTACTAATACGGACTATGACTGATAAATGACAGACCCGACCTCTCGTCAGAGAGGGCGCCCCAAATGGACAGGACGGTAACTTTCATATAAGAAAAAAAAAAGACACCAAGCCAGACAGACTGACTGACCGTCAGTCGCAATGTGACTTGGACTTGGTAAGGAGTTGAGTTGAATTGTAGGAGCCGCCGAAGACAGTTAGTATTCGGGGTATCCAGTATGAATTGAAGTCCAGCAGCTACGAGTTGAGTTGTATCGAGTGAAGGGAAATGACTACAGCAGAAGTAATTGTGAAATTGTAAATTGTGTAAGTGTAAGAGCGAGTGTAAAATACATTCTCTACATCCAAAATGGCGTGAAGTTATTTGTTGCGTGGCGTACCCAACACGTGACAGTATGTTAAGAAGTGGCCGTGGCCTGCTTTGAGGTACTTTATCTGAGCGCACTCAGGAAAGCCGCGGTCTGCGGGCCGAGATATGAACTCGAGACCTTCCTAATACAAAGCAGGAGTGCTACCCACTTTATCGCGACGTTCGGTATATCTTCAAGGTTATGACACATACATTGTGGATGGTTACCGACGTTTCGGAAGAAGGTGGCAGTAATGTTCTTGCGAATTATGCTTAGCCACCTACGAGAGCGCACAGTGGCATAACCCGGAAGGCTATCCTCTGAACAGTTCTATTTCATTTTTACATGCCTTTCGTACTAGCAGAATGTAGTCAGTTGACAGGGTCGATGGACGAGTATGACGTCACTGGCCTGGTATTGACTGGTTTACCGAAGGGATGGCCTGCCGGATACTAATTTTGATCGAATTTCCTGTCGGAAACGAACCCATCAGCATTGGGTTGGGTCGTGACACACATGGGTACCATTGACCCACTTTATTCATTTACAATTCCATAGTTTACAGAACTCACTTTTGCTGTTACTGGCCAGAGTAAATTATGTTTTCAGTTTGCTGTACTTAGTTAATAAGTACAATCATACTTAACGCTGTCACTGTTTTTGTATGTGTTCTCGTAACAACTTTGGACCACCTCTGTGGTCTAGTGGTCAGAGTTCCTGGCTACAGATCCAGAGGTTCCAGATTCGATTCCCAACGCTACCAGATTTTCTGAGAAATAGTGGGTCTGGAACGGGGTCCGTTCAGCCTCGTGAGGATAACTGATTAGCTATTTCAAGGAAATATTGGCTCCGGTGTAGAATACCGAGATTAACGGCCGTGGGAATCTGTTGCGCTCATCACGTGACACCCTCTATCCGCAAAAGTCGGCACTAACTTCGCCGACAAGTGGCGGTCGCTCGGTCGGTATAGTTCGTTTGCGGAGTACAGGCTACGGAGTTTGTTCTCATAACAACTCTGGAACCATTTTTTCGAATTAAATTTTTTTATGAATTCTGTATCGCCGGAGGTCATCCCATCGCCATGTTCCTTTAATTACGTACCATTAGGACTATAAACATGACCACAGTGGTAGCTTCTTCTTTCGTTCATTTATTGGGTTCGGACATCGTTACAGTGACACTTCCACTTAAGTTATTCACGGCTTAATGCGCATTGCTTGAGATTTTGCCTTCGGCTAGCCTATATGGATTCAAATAATACAGAATGTCTAGAAATTTGTGTTTGTCGTGCTTTGTTATGTCGAATGTTAAATCGAAGAAGAAAACTTAAGTACAAAAGCGACTATTTCCTGTTCCAGAACTTTAGTATCTGCCAAAGTGTGCCACAAAGTATGTGCAAGAAAAACTTATCTTCTAAACCACGATTCACAGAGAAATAGAACAGAAGTATTTATATCTGCTCTCATTTTATACTGAAAGTAAGGAAGTTGTTAACTTAATAATATTAGATACAGAATGCTTTGAATATTTTTATAAGAACTTTATCTTCTACGCCGT